ATTTGTTCAAATTAGCTACTATTGTATTGGAATTGCCTCATTATCATTTTTATGTAAGCTCAAATATTAAATTTTTTTTGGTATTTAAAACATTTAATGGTTTTTTTCCCCTTAAATTTGCTAAAGGAATTAACGAAACAAAAAGATTTAAACGAAACAAAATTTGAGTACTATCGTTAATTTATACTTGCAGTTAATAATTTCTTACACGAAATTAATTTTGTTTCAATTATGATAATTTTCACTCAAAATATCGTATAATGTTAAATTGTTTCTTAATGAGCAAGAAAAAAAAAATGGAACTCTGCCTTTACTCCACCCTGCCGGAAAAAAAAGCTTTTATTTTCGTGCTATGCACTGTCAAACTAATAAATTAAAAGAGCATTAATTATTGATGCTGAAAATTGAAGAAACCGAATTTTAAAAATAATAGATTTATTGATTCTAGATGATTTCAGGTGTAAGGAATTATCTGCTTCGAATAAATGGTTACTTTTCGACTCTTTAAAATAAATTCATTTTTGCAGGGGTGATTGTGAGCCCAAGCCAAAATTCCGGAAAATTTCTTGAGTTAAAAAAAAGAAGTTTAAATTGAAAAAAAAATTTAAACAAGGTTTTTTTTCTTTCCTTTTTCTCAATATTTCTTAGTTTACTTAAAATATATTTAAAATTCTACACATACCTATGATGACCTGGAGAAGTAATTAAAATTTACAAATATGTCTTTCTTTCTTGAGTTTATGATTATAATAACTATTTACTCATAAAAAATGAATATAAGCTTATAAAGTATATCTCTGGCTCTCCCTTTCAAACAAATGAAATAAACTGCGTTTTTAAGTTCCACCTTTGAAAATTTGATTTCCGGAAACTTCTGTGATCAATGATTTTTTTAAACGTCTGGACCTTCAATCTCCGGAACACTGTTAGCGAAAAATCAGGATTTTTTCCGGATTCAGCTCTAATAAAAAAAGGTAAGAAATTAAATAGTTTATATTTATTATTGATTTCTTTTCGTACAAAAATAAATTTACCAAAATTAAAAATGATGTACAAACTAGGTTTAAAAATTTTTAAATGATGATCCTGGATGGTGCTCCTGTGGCCTAATGGATAAGGCGTTGGCCTCCGGAGCCAAAGACTGTGGGTTCAAGTCCCACCAGGGGCGATAACATTTTACCTTCAAATTATGAGTACTTTTCAGCCTTACTTTCATCTAATGCGAGACGCATTCATTAAAAATAGCGAAAATTGTTTGGAAATCACGATAAAATAAATAACTAATTTATAAGGGATTATAAAATCAAAAGCAATACACAGATAACAATACGGAAATTACCATTGCAAAAATTTTTTTGGTTGTAGGTTCAAATAACTTTTTGAAATAAATTTGTAATTTTCATACGACTAATATAAATAAAAATTTATTAAAATATTGAAAATATCGTTATTGAGATAAATTAAATTATTCTAAGCCGAAGTTAATTCTTTACTTTTTCTTTCAATCATTTTAAAAAGAAAATTTAATTTTTGCTTAAATTATAAGAATGAATTACTCTTATTAAAACACATAATTTTAATAATCATAATAAAAATATATTTTTTCATCATACTGCTATGGCGCCATCTGTTTTCTTAAAATGTATTTAAAAAGATCATATTAATAGGATATTTCGTATTTTGTTGACTTGTCAGATGATAACGTATTAGCGATCTATCCAAATCAAATCGAAATTTTTCTCATGAAGCTAAAATCTTTAAATTCAACAAGTTCAAGAAATAAGGAAAAATAGAGCAAGCAAATTTACCTCATCTAAGCTTCTTTAAATTGACGACTTCTCATTCAAAGAATTTTTTTTTTAACCATTATACTTTATTGGATAATTTTGATTATGAAGAAATTTTTGATTTAGTAAGAAATAAAATAAAAAAGCTAAAATCACTTTTCAAAAAAAAATAAATTAAAAGCAATTGTACTAGTACAGTTAAATATTGCTTCAGATTTCAGCCGTGCAAAAGAAAAATCCACGTAAGCAGCAAAAAATTCAAAGTTGAGATTTTTATATCACTATTACTCTTGTATAAGCTACTTATTGCAAAAAAAACAAACTAGTATCAGTTTTTGAAAATTCTATTTTAGCGTTGATTGCATTAACAATAGAAAAAAAATAGTCGTCTAGCCACTTTTTTCAAAATCTATAGTAAAGCACTTACGGTATTTTTTCAATTACTCAAATTTGCATATAAATTTTGCATACGCCCAAAATTTGCATATATTAACAAGCAGGGTATCTGCTACATTTTAGATTTTCAAATCCATGACTTTTCAAGAATAATTCCAAGAATTTTTCATCACTTACCGAATGTAACTATTTTCTCCACAAAAATGCAACAATAAATTTAAAAAAGCATTATAATAACATTTATTGAAATGATAGCTGTAACCAAAACTTTGCATCTTCATATTTATTGATTTTAAACTTAAAAAACAGAGTAAAGAAAGAGTTAAAGCAATAAAATAGCTGGAAAAAAAAATACACACACACAAATACGGCCAGATATATGTAGTTATTTAAAGCTGTTTTATTTATTCTTTAAAGTAAGTGTAATATAAAAATCCTAAACTAGAATTTTAAACGGATAAAATCAAAAATAAATAAAAAAATTCTGAAATCACAGAAGTTTAGATGATAATTCGCTCTAGAAATGATGCTCTTTCTTTCATTTTTTGAAAGAACACCATAATTTTATATAAAACACGATAAAAAAACAAAACATTTTATATTTTAATAAAATATGACTGTGAGTGGGGATTTTGTTACTAATTCAGATATTCGAACACTGAAATTGCGGGAGGCGACTTAACATGATTTTAAAAAAAATAGTTAAAATCATGACTAATTTTATTCAATATCGAAATCCATGATTTTCCAGGTGCGCAAATACCCTGATCATATTTGTTAACAAAATTTTGGGATTATTTTTAATTTTAGAACTTATCCACCTATTACGAAATTCCAAAACACCTTGTTGTCTTATAAAAACAATAATTAACTTAAAAAACGTTAACATTTCTTTTTTTTAAAAATATATTTAGTCCAGCATCAATGATTCCATTTAACGGGTTATAACATTATTCACTATATTGATATTTACCACTCATTAACTTGATGAATTGCTTCATTATAATTAATGCGTTTGAAAGCATGCCATACAATATTTTCTGTGGTTGACGATCTAACGTTTGTCAACATCCCATTTTGGTAATCAAAATAAAAATTAAGATAAACTAATTGAAATTCTATTTTCAACAGCACTTAATGGCATCACTTTAACCCTTTATGGGTACATAAAACAAACCTAAAATGGGACAGAAAAGTTCCTATAATTTTTTAAAGGGCTCATATGATTATAATTTCTTTTAAAAGATATGTATGAATTTGTTACGTAGAATCCCAACAGGAATAAAATTTTTTCTTAAAAAAAAAAAAAACATTTTATACTATATTTTTGTTAAACAGCAGTTATAGAACTGCTGTTTAACAAAAATATAGTATAAAATGTTTTTTTTTCTTCCAGATATTAGATTTTTCTTATATTTATTCAATACTTAAATCTAAGGAAACTGATTTAACAAAAAATAACTATAAATAGAAAGCAAGGAACCTTTTTCAAGAAATAATTGCACCAGTTATAGCAACCATCTTGGAACTTAATTATAATAAATTCTAAAATGGATCATAATTTAGTTTGACTTATTATTAAATATTTTTTACTCTTTTGTTAAATTTCAGTAGCGTCTGAAAAAGCCTTACATCATCTGTTAACTCTTGATGTCATTTTCTGAACTATTTTAAGTGCAATCGATTAATGTAAAAACATTTGTTTTCATTCCACTTTCCTAAAAATCACTAGTTTCTTTGTACTTGCAAAAAAAAAAAAAATCAGTCTTCTTTAAAACGTTTTATACCTATTATATCCTTAATTTTTAGAAAGATCAAATTTTTCATCCAAGTAAAGGGGATAAATAAAGTAGGAATAATTTTCCAGATATAAAGAAGCTAATATATATCTTTATTGGTTTGCTAGTGATTCAACAGCGATGAAATTAACAAGAGAAATAAAATTTTATTTTGCTATTAGGGAAATTTTTTTTGGCAATGTTTAGTTTGTCCTCATCATCAGCAAAAATTCGAGAAATTTTTCAGTTCGTTTTCAAAGAGTGGAAAAGGAATACTGAAATCGAGAATATCTTGCAAAATATAGCAGATGAGAGCGCAAGAATCCTTCGAACCGAATTCAGCTCAGTATTAGCACACGCGAATTAGCAAGTATTTCTTCAAACATGTAAAATGACTAGCGCTTTAATACGATAAGTCAAAATGAATTTTGAAAATGTAGAAAAGGACAATATGAAAACCACTTTTCGCGTAACTCGGAGGCGAAAATAGACATGTTAAAGAGAAAAATCTCATTTCGGAAAAAGAGGAAATTAAGCACTTTTTTAAGACACCGAATGAAATAAGCACTTAAGAGCTTTAAAAAACAAAAACAAGCACTTTTAAGCATTACGCTACCCGTATAAGATTATTAATGAATTTAAAAAGGGTTAAAATAAACAGAAAAATTTTAAAACAAAATAAAAGTTTTAAACTGATTACTATTGTATAAACGAAGATCACTTAATGTATTAGCAATACTTAAGCAAGCAATAAATACAGTAAAAATTCGGTTTCAATAGGGTAGAAAACTAGCAGCTATGTAAAAATAATATTTTTTGGAAAAAATTATAAACAAAACAACTTTTACATATTCCTTTTTTTCTTTAATTCGAGAATGAATATCGTACATTATTTTGAAAAATTTACATAATTTTGACGTTTTCAACCCTTCAATAGTTACTGGAGAATAATAACAGTTAATAAAATATAGGAATATATAAGAAAACTTATACTGTGTCTTGTGAAATAGTGTTTGAGTATAAAGAATGACAATAAAAGAAAAAAAAAAGGGATTTCATTTATTACATGCAAACATTGCTCCTAAATACAATTGGCACCAACTACATATGATTTGATTCTCACTATAAGACTGCTGTTGGTTTATCACTTAGTTTGACAAAGAAAAAAATAATAATTACAAAAAGGGGAAAAAATTTTAAACAGTCTCTGCCTATAAGTATGAATATTGATGACACCTTTCATTTTTTTTTAAAAACAATATAAAAATACCATCCATGGGATTATGAAATGCATTTAAAACTCATTCATAGTCTCAGAATGGATACAAAAAGTATGGCTACAAATTGCTTTTGTACAAAGCTAAACAATGTCATGAAAGTTGGTGCCACTCTTGAATCCAGGAACTTGAACAAGCTCGACCCCTTTCCCAGTTCACACCTGAAAGAAAAAAAAAGAAGGAAATATTAAGATAACATACAGGTTAATTTTAATGCTAGAATGACCATAGCGATAATTCGGACCGCAAATCAGCTTTGAGAGTCGCTAAGTCCTAAAATAATTGCATCCAGAATATGGCAAAATACAGTTTGTCAATTTTAATTATGATAAGTTCTGAATTCTTTTAAAAGTGCATTACTATTCACAAGTTTTTCAATTGACCTCTATTTTGAGCTCTGCAACAAACTGAGATTACCATGTCTTTCTACACATAAACTAATTGTTTGCCCCTGCTCCAAGTTTTCTGAAACTACAAGCGAAAAGCACTGTCAATGTTCTTTCTGATGAGACAAAACAAAAGTTTTTTTTTTCATTTTTAAAATTTCCAATGGCAACGCATATTACATTTGTAAAAACAAACCAATGTGAAACAATGAGCAAACAATTACAAATATTGACGGAAGTCATTGAAGCCTCAGATGTTCTCTAGATCTCCAATACAGGGCGGTCTCGGGAGTCGTCAGAACCGGATTATACCTTTCGTAGGCCCTAGGCATAGCCGTTTTTGGGCCCTCCCCTCTTTTCAAAATATATGCTAAAATTTTCTTGCATATTTTTTTAAACATTTTTATTAATATGGATTTTAATTTACAAATTTGTTTATCGAACTTTATCTGCAATACCGACATACTGCCGATATTGCAGTTGATATCGATAATACCATTATGATTAGTTCGATCGATAACTATGTAGATGAATTTTTATTATTTTCAAATTTGTATGAACATAAATCTGCACAAGAAATGTTGAAGTCACATTGCATTAAGAATATATTTGTCGATTCTTGGATCAAATGCAGAAGGAGAAAGATCTTTCTCCAGATTAAAATTGATAAAAAAATTATTTGCGTTCAACAATGAATCAAGATAGTTTGGCATGGCTCGCACTTATGTCTATTGAATACAACATTTTGCGTTGTTTGGAATTCAACAGCATAATACAAGATTTCATTGAATCTAAAAATCGCAAAAAAGTAATATATTAGATCATAAGATTCTGCAAAATAATTTATTACCGAAAAATATAATATTTTTGTTTGTATCTTCATAATTTCGTGCAAAATACACTTGTTGCTAAATTATTTTTGTCAACAAATTTTTTTCTCCCAAGTTTTACGTAGGCCCTAGGCACGTGTTTATAGGTTAATCCGGCCCTGGTCAGAGCCACGAAGTGCTATGCATCAACGCAGACGAGATCTATTCCAGGGCTAAAGAGAATAGAAGGGCTGGTTCACTCCTTTGAAGTATCTCTCGCCGCGCCGATCCTCCGACGTCACTCTAGTGACGTCACTTTGGCTCAAAGCTCGCACTTTTACTTCAAGAACGGAGCGTTTGGCCATAGGTGAAAGCCCTTATATAGCGAGACGGAAAAGAGAAAAACCTGGTACGTAAAACATTTCATTCCAGCATTTTTTTCGAAAAAAAATGAAATATCTGTAACTATCAAGATTTCTTTTATAATTCTGGCATATATATAAAATTGTTCTTTTCCAAGATAAAGTAGATATTCTTGAAAAATTTAAAAAAAAAAGAATAAGTACTCCATCCCAAAACTAACTATAACTGAAATGGTTTTACTACCAGCCTTTCCTCTTTTCCGTCTCGCTTTCACCCCTGCGTTTGGCCTTACTAGCTCTAACTAATATTGGATCATTTCTTTTTGCGAGATATTCTAAGACATTTGTTATTTCCTATAATGACTTTCCTCAGTTTTTGCAGTGAATTTACAAGAATTTAAAACTATTATCGAAATGCCAGTTTGCGCGATTGCAACTTGCAAAAATTCTGATATAAAAACAAAAGGAAAAAGTATAATTTTTCGCGTGTTCCCTAAAGTAAATGAACAACTATGTAAAGAATGGATTCCGAAATGACACAGTTAATATAAAACAGCAATACGTTTATTCTGTCGTAAAGAACTTTTATAAAAATTCATTATCTAAATAGAAACCGCCTCGCTACTTCATAAAGAAAGGCAGGTGAAAAGAATTAAAAAATAGATAAAGTCAAAGAAAATTAAAATGTAAGTAAAAAGTATAAATAAAATATATAGTATATAGTTGAAATTCTCCTAATTTCATAACATATTTTTTAATGTAGTTATTCTAAATATTTATGATTTTTTTTAAAAATTATATTCTCTTCAATTTAAATATCTATAAATTATATCATCGTAAATTTAAATGTCTATAAACAATTGTAAAATTTCTAATGTCATTATGAACCTAAATTATTATTTTGTTTCAGTAATTAGCGTTTAAGGTTGATGTTTCCTAATGATTAAGTATGAACAAATTGCTATTAACGACATATTTTAAAATCAGGGATTCTAAATTTAACTTAACTTATCGTTATAAAAGAATATGTAGATAAAAAAAGTGTCGATATATGCCTTCATTTTTCTTAATAGTTATACTCGATATTTGAAAAACAGAGCTAAAGTATTTATCGTGTCATTTTCACCAACTAGCAAAACATTTTTATAAGTTTAAAATGGTATTTGTTTAAATATAATAACCAAGAAAGTTTTTTTTAAACTATGCTTATGAACGGAAATAATGTGTTAATTACGTAAAGTTTGAAGGCTAATAACCAGAAAAAGTCTAACTTATTTTTACAAAGAGAAAGATGCAAAGTTATCATATCTTTGCATGCGATCTCCGAGATCTGTGGACACAGTGACGTCATGAGAAGGGAAATCGTAGCTTCAGCTCTAAGAGCGGAGTGAACTAGCCCTTCTATTCTCTGTAGCCCTGGATCTATTCAGAGTTTCTCTCAGATCGCATAATGAACCAAGAGGGGAGTCGAAAATACTAATTGTACGGAGATGTTCAATCTGGCAGTCATGTTCTGTAACCAGCTGAAACAATGCCACTGCCTCATGTCTTGGGCAATCGGGTATATTAACAAGATCTTCACAACTCCAGGTCTTGGATTTAATCCTATCTTGTATTTGTGTTTTGAATTTCGACTTCAAAGCTTGTTTCCAGAAGAGTTTTTTGAGTGAAAAGACAGCCCAGAGTAATTTGCTTGCTGTAGAAGAGTACCCTTTCGTGCGAGAAGATCAGCTTAATGGTTCCCATAAATGCCGCAATGTCCAGGGATTCATTGAAACTTGATGCGTTTGTTTTCATGACTAATGTGATGAATTAACTGCTGGCACTGCATGACCTCAACAGATGTAGGAGCCCCACAAAAAAGTTTGTCATATCTAAAACTTTTAAGTGGAAAATACCAACAAATTTTGGTAAGTAACTTATTTCAAATCATGTGCTACTTTCTACATTCGTATGAAATTATTTTACGATGTTATAATTTTTCCTGAAAAAAAGTTTTTTCCCCCTATATATATTAAAAATACAGAATAATGTTAAAATTATTAAAAATAACCTTTTAGGTAGTTAAAAAATGTCAGTCGTTCTAACGTCAAGAGAGAAATTTTAAATAGAACTGAATATTGCCATATACTAAGATTGAATATACATATCAGAAATATTGTTTTATGTTTTACAATTTATTTAATTTTTAACACTTTTCTAACATTTTATTTTCTATTTAAAACATTAAACAAGAAAAAACTTTACCTTTTCATTCTTGTACTTTTACAGTATCTACAGCTGCAGGTTTTACATCATTCACTTTCCCATCCTTTTCAACAGAATTTGCGACGGCTTTTTCAGCTTTCTTTTTCTTCTTTTTCTGTGACTTAGGAGCTACCGATCGATTTAAAAGCATCTGCAAGCAAAAAATTATGATGATTGAAGTAAGGGAGCAAGGGCATTTAAAAACAATTAAGAAACCTTAGATTGAATTTCTCATTGTAAAGAAAATTTTAGTCATGAATGTATACTAATAGATGGATGAAGATATGAAGAATACATATCATTTAGATCACATCGCAAGTTCTCAGGAATTTTAATTTGAAAGGAATAGTGGAATCATTGTTGATTTTCAATCAACAAACTATCAATTTAACTATAGAGAGATGTCATATATTTAAAAAGTTTGCTAGATATAAATTTTTGAAAATGTATTTCGATAAAGCAATATAACATTTATGACACAGTTAATGTTTTTTATTTTATTTAAGGAAGCATTTTTAAGACTTTAGTTAAATTAATCTTAATCAACATGTTTATTTCAGCTAAATCAGGGTGCGTAGCCAAATCTTGCAACCAAAAATAAAAAAAATCTTTTTAAGTACTTTCTAAGCACTAATAGTAGTTGGCAGCTATAGGAAATGGACAATTTCAAATATTAGTCAAACAAATTAAAATGCTAAAAAAAAAAAAAAACACTGGCATTCAATAAAGCTTAGCAACATGGATGAATTTTTAGCACAACTTAATGGTGATTGATAATTTTGTTCACAAAAAATAAACTAGATCCAAACATGATAAAATGTGGATTTACATCTGTATCTGACAACTTGTCAGATGAAACTAATTTAGAACTAAAACAATTGTAAAACTCTTAAAAAAAAAAAGATAAAAAAAGAAAAAAGAAGCTATTCTAAAGTGTTAGTTTTTCCTTATAATTAATACACAATACAAAGCAACTTACTTTCAGTGAATCGTCTTCTACTTCATGAGTAGTTTCATAAATATCTAAATCTATTGGACCAGAAGTAATTTTGTGAGATCCCGAAGGCATAAGTAACACCGTGAACTTAAACTGTGCAACATATTCAGCTAACAAAATAACAATACAATATATTAGCTCTTTTGCATTAACAACAAATAATACAAATACTATTATTATTTCTGCACTTTCCAATTCTTTAATTTGTGATTGCTGTACAAAGAAAGGAATCTTAACTCAAAATTTAAAATAGCCAATCCCATTAAAATGCAGCTCTTAATAATTTTAACAACGTAAGTTTAACTGCATAGCTGTCGAATCTATAATTAGAAAAACTCTTTTATGCCTGACTTTTTTAAGTTAAAAGGAAAATAAAGTAATCAACTCAATAAATATAAACTCATCTGGCGGTTTCTGAAGTACTTTGTTGTCATGTAGAAGCAAGATTTTTAAAATTTTAGGGTAATATAAAACTTTGGGTAAGCTAAAAACAAGTTATACCATAGTTAATAACATAACAGATTAGTATTCGTAACATATTAAGAGTAGAAGAGTATTTAATACATAAAACAAATAATTTATATACCATTATAAACTATCAACAATTTAAATTTATAATAATAATGGGAAAAAAAAGAGAAAAAATTAGCCGTCTCTCCAAAAAAAAACCCTTCACTTGATAAAGCCAAATGAATTTCTTTTGATATTATTAAATTTCAAATAACCAACTTACATGTAAGTTACAGGGAAAAAAATGCTTTTTTTTTTTACAGTTTCAAAAAGATTTAATTATGATTCTTTTTTTTATTTTTAAACTGATCAGATCCTTTTGATGTTAAATTTTGAGCAAGTCATTTTCACCATATTATAGTTTTTATTCAGACTTTATGCTCCCTATTTTATTAGGCCAGATAGTTCCTCATTCTTCAATTCATTGCCTTTCTGACATTTGCACAACCTTGTAGAGAAACAACAGTCATCCCTACTAAAAAAAACAGAGCAATTGTATTTTGCAGATTTGGTTTAAATTGATTGGAGGAATTGCTAACTTGCAATAGGCATAGATGCCAACTTGGTTCGGACAGCAGATAAAAAAGTTCGAACAGTACTTTTTTGATGTTTGATTCTTGGTTCAGTAAATTCGATTTAGAGGGTTTTTAATCAGCACTACTTCTGAATGATTTTTAATTCCACCAATATCTGATCAAATGCTTGCGCCCAATGATATTAATGAAAACAACGAAGATAAGCAAAAATTATAGGAGGACATACTCAGATCAAGAATTTCAAAGCACAATTGAAGATAAGCAAAAATTATCAGGGGACTTAATCAGATCAAGAGTTTCACAGCATAAAAATGAAACATTTGTAAACTTAAACTAAAAAACAATTTTGAAAAAGTATTGAGAGGGATATTGTTAAAATTGTATCTAAAAACGAAAAGCACGTAAAGCATTCTTTAAAAGTTCATTGATGTGTCAATTGTTAAAATTATATCTAAAAACGAAAAGCATTTTTTAAAAGTTCATCAATGTGTCGGCACCATAATTTGATAAAACTTTTAAAATTTTCTTACCATCTTTTTCATATAATACAGTAAATGGTTCCACAAGTTTATGATTTACACACTCTACAACACCCATCCTTGCCTTTTTCTCATCTTCAAATGATCTGAAAAGAATTTCCATTTAAAAATAAGCATACACTGTGGAACCTCTCAGGAGCGACCACTCTTCGTTCCAAAGTAAATTGGTCGATGAAGGTTGGTCATTCTTAGAGAATACCTCCATTGACTTCAAAATTGTTATTAAAGGTAAAAGATTTTTCACAAATGATTTCAATTTAATACAGTTCGTGGTGCTGAAACGCCATTTCTGTTGGTCTTATGAAAAGACAGACCGATGATTGAAATATAGCATCCATAAAAATGATCCCAACTGATATAATCGCAGGTAAAAACAAATGTACCAGTTATGAGTAATGAAGCTATTTTAAGTAAATAAATTTTTTGTTTTGTTTAAGAGGTATGTTTGACATGCTTGTTTTTAGTGCACTCGAGGTATCGTCAAAAAGAGCTCTATAAATAAAACTGAACTCATTTCATCTCAATTTTATGAGCAATAAGATTGTTAAGTTGGTTTGATAATTTTTAAATAAAATAATCAAGAAACTAGTCAGAACCTTCAACACCATATTTTTTAAAATTATTTTGGCTGACCAGTTCATATTGCAGTCAGGGAGCTGACCAGAAGTTGGAAATGTCTTGGGTTCGAATTTCACCGTTCTCCTCGTCTCTGTACTATCTGTCTTTGTCAGTGTGGGAGCAACGACCACTTAATATGATGCCCCTGAAGGAGTGGTCAACAAATCTACCTTTCTGATAACCGAATGACAAATTTCAATAACTGGGTAGGCATTAGAAAAAAATTGAATATCACTTAAAATATATCTTTAGAATTTTTAATATTAAAACTATATCATACGAACAGGATTGAAAGAAAGTAATAGCTCAAAATTATAATGCAGTACAGAACCCGTTATCCGGAAATCAGAAAACAGGAAAACCAAAAAACCGGAACGAAATTCGATATTTTCCCGCCATTTAAAAAGATGTTTTTTTTTCCTCATAAGATTTTACGATTTTTCTTTCCTTTTGGAAAGATGTTTACCTTACTATCATTTTGGAAATAATCATTAGTGTATTACTTCGTTTTTTCTTCTTTTAAAATGATTTCCAAATATTTTTTTCAGTTGGGTTTAACAATAAAAAAAAAATGGCTCTTTGTAGTGATTCAGAAAACCGGAAAAATCAGTTATCCGGAATAGCAATGGTCCCGATCGTTCCGGATAATCGGTTCCCTACTGTACAATCTTTTTTCCACAAAATAAATCAAATAAAAATCTATATCATTACTTACAACAAAATATATTGTATTGCTCATTATCGCAAATTTAAGCTTATATGTTTTGTTTGCGAAACTGAAAAGCCAGTTTCAATTTTCTCCCCAGTTTCTGTGCTACAGTTCTATCATTCCTAATTGTATAGTTTTTTTTTCTGCTGAAATTCTAATAGATTTAATAAAGAATAATCCAAATTTGTATTTCTGACTATATATTGTTAGAAATAATTTTTACATATATTTCTTAAGTTCTAAGATTAGCAAATAGATTACTTTACACGAAACCACGAGTTTTGTACCGCTGTTTTTTTAAAATTAACTTCAGACGTGACAATTTTTCGATCATTTTTATTGCTTTATTTTTATTATAGTGCGATATTTTTACAGTGCAATTCCTATAAACTTCATGATTTTACTATCACTTTTTTTTCTAGTACAGTAAAAGATAGCCGGTAGCATAGAAAACTGATTTCCAACGTTAACACCTACGTTTAAGAAATTCGCCTGTTTCTCATTTGCTTTTTTTTAAATGACAGCATAATTTAAAGAGCAATTTTAATAAATGATATGCTTGCATTATAGCTTTTTTCTAAAATTACGGCATTGTGAAAAAGCTCGATGACTGAAGATTTTCAGTTTTAAATTTTTAATATTGAGTTAAAGATATATTTTTCTTTTCAGTGGAAATAATCATTCGATAAATTTACAATTTAATCTTATTTGATGAATGCTTAGCAAGGGGTCTGTTTTTTTAAATTTGAAATAATTATAGACACATTCTGAGTATGAGTCTGCTTAACTAATGCTTCAGTGGTTTTTTATCGTTTCGTCTACTATTTTTTCTTTCTCCAAATTTCGACGTTTTTAATATGTTAATCATGATTGTCGAAAAGTATGATTGCTTACAAGGATTAATGGAGGAAAAATTAATGTCATAAATAAACATACCTTACAGTGAATGGCATATTTCCAAATTTCTTTTCAACCTCACTAAAGAAAGCTGAAAGAAAATTAGAAGAATTAAAATAAATAATATACAAATACAGAGAAAATATTTTTAAACTAGTCAAGAAGATATTTTGAGAAGAATGCCAATAATATCTTTATATTAGAGAAGTTCAGTAAAAATATTACTGAAATTAAGTTACTCCTGAGTTAGCCGAACAAAAACAAAAAGTAATTAATAATTTAGATCTGCATAAAAATTCTATTAAGCATTGATTTTCTTTTAAGGTTCAATATTTTTGCATACCTGCCAACATGGGAGAAACATATATATAAAAAAAGCGGAGATTTTACTACCGACATTTTTTTAGGCTACGAGTAAAGTTTTGATATATCATGCATAATCATTTAAGTCAAGAAATTCAAAATATAAGCACTTACATTTAATAAAGTGAAAAATATGTATATAAATCTAAATCAAAAGATTTTTTTAAAATCATTATCTATAATTACTTAAACTATAAACACTCAACATACTGCAGTACTGGCAATAGCACCCTCTGTTGAGGAATAGAGAAGTATTTTTGCCACCAGCGAATATTTTTTTATAAAAAATTTCTTTAACAAATATGGAGAAACTATACAGGTAAACAGGAGACTTGGTAGGTATGTTTCTGTTTCTTGCTGTAAAGTTGATATTATTCACGCAGGTCAAAACTTGAAGAAAACAGATAATTTTAATTATTCCTCATCAAGAAACAATATTTTTTCAATTTCAAAGCATATGCTAAACAAAAATTTGATATTACAAAATGGAGATAATGATATTTAAAGAAGGGTTTTAGTGCATTTGGATATTGCAACAATTTTGTACTTGCAGATTATAATATTATGTATACTGGTGAACATTTTGGGCTTTGTTCACACATTGAAATAATATAAAAATTTCAGGAAAAAAGTAGACTCTTGCTAATCTGTAAACATCCAACTTTCTTTTCATTAGATGATTGTGAATTTTTTTCCCACACATAAAGCTGAAACATACATACACACTCTAAAGTAATACAAGAAAAACCACAAGTCTTCTAATGTACAGCACAAATAAAAAAGGACCAACCTGAACAACTTTTGAACTAATGATCGGATCTTCACGTTCTAGAACTCAATCTTATTGGTTCGAGGAGGTGACCTCAAATATGCTAAATTAATAAGCAAAGACCGTATTTTAAGTTACAAAATCAGACACAAAAACGTGCTATCTCTAAATAAACATACCTTGTCTTTAGTTGACAGATTTGGATTTCTGACCCCCACAATAAATATTGTGAAATATGGTCCCGATAGTTGGGTTAGGAGAGCGCGCCAAAGTTTGGAGCCATTAATGTTAAATTTTATTTTTAGTGTATTTTGAAACTCAAAAACTTTGTAAGCGAATTGAAAACACACGATTATAAAATTCATTTATCAAAGACAGACACTAAAACATACTTTCTCTGAATAAAGATACCCTTTTTCCCTTAATGAACTGCAACCTAAAGATTAGACCAATAAAGGTTAATTATATTTTTTTGCATATTTTGCCACATTTCGAAAACTTTTGCAAACACTTTTAAAATTCGTTAGTCCAAAGATAATTCCATGCAAAAAAATAAATTATAGTAAATATATTTTTAAATTTTATTTAATAATAGTTGAAAAAATTTTGCATTGCAAAGTGAATAATTTTTTAGATCAATTTAACATATCTAATATTACATGACAAAATACAAAATTAAGCTTTAAATTAAATTTTCACTCAGCTGAAGAATTTCTGAGAAATTGAATTTTAGAAAAGAAATTTAATTTAATTGAATTTTAGAAGATTTACACACAAAAACCCAAATCTGTTGAGGGAAAAAAAAGTCATGTTTATTGTTTTTGTGCCTGATTTCATAACTTAAAATATTGCCTGCACATATTAATTAGCACATTTGAGGTCACTTCTTCCAGCCATTAAGAATAAGTACCAGAACGTAAAAATCGATCATTAGATCAAAAGTTATCCAGGGTGTTTTTTTTTATTTGGTGCACTGTATCAAAAAAACTATTAACAACAATTTCAAACACCCTAAAAAGCATAACAATTTGCTGTATTTGATGATCAGGAAATTAACAAAAACAAATAATTTACAGACACACAGACAATACATAAACAGCCTTTAATATAAAAACAATTCAAGAGATATAAATGTAGAATCAATTTTTTTAAAGAACAAAAAAGAAAGAAAAAAAAATTCTTACCCCGAGAGGCTTTCATTTTAAGTTGATAAACTTCATCAGTTTTTTTAAAAACAGTCGTCCTAGTATCCATTTCTCGACCCTAATTAAAAAAAGTGAGCATTTAAATTTTTTTTTTTAAACGTCTTATTATTGTTCATGCCATAAAAGTATCGATGATAAACTTTACCTTTCCTTCTCCTGTGCTTACAAGAACATCTACAGCATAGACCTCATGTAACTCAAACTCACATTTTTCATGTTCTTTCCTGAAAAGAATAGTTAAAATCTTTAAATTTTGGAAGCAGTAAGAAATAGATATAAACTTCTAGAACAAAGTTAATAAATGAGAATACTGTAACTTCTGTGAACATACATACAACCAGTACAATCTATTGCCAAATACGATTTTCAGTTTAAATTTAAAGAAACACGTAGAAGATTATTCTAAAAATCCTAATTAAGAATATATAATTAGTAACAGCCATAACTGTTCAATAATAAAACGTACTATAATAAGTAATAAAAAGTACTGTGTCATCATAATGAAGTACTGGGGTTCATTCCATAATGGCTGTCACAACAATGACACTTGGTTTTAAAATAGTGGACTCTCAATTCCCTGCCAATAAATGGCTGTTGTAAAACTGGTGTACGGCATAAGTAAAAATTATGTTATAAATAAAAAAGACACATTTTTGTCCTTACTTTATTAATACCAAGAGAATTTTTTAGCATCATTTTCAACAAAGCAAATTTCAAAAAAATCTAGCAACAGACAAATAAGCAGTATTGATTATTTTATACCATGAAAAATAATAAATAAATTCCTTGAGAACAAAATATTACAAAAGTATAAGTTAAATAAAAAATTAAGATAACAAAGGGAGATTTAAAAAAAAAAAAAAAATAGATGAGACAATAACATGATTCTGAGCATTTTTTAATTAAACAAGATTTACAGAAATGCTAAAGTCAGACCTGTTAACCACAGAAATTTAAATAGCTTGCGACTTTTTTTAAAACCACGCCATAGTGAAATAAGCAAAATAACAAGTGTATATATACTTTAAAAGTAAATTCTTCCACTCTTTAAATTTATAAGTAATTTTTTATTTATAAGAATTGCAAAATAATAAATTATTTTATTTTTCAAAAAACAGTTTGAGTGATCGACCAGCTTTTTTCTTAAAAACACACCAAAATTTTTTCGAAAGCATTTGCTTTGGTAGTCAAAAATTTTTCAAGTTTGTTTTGACTAAGAAGAAACTTAAGTACGGATTTGTGAGATATGGCTAAGTATTTTAGAACAGGTTTTCATGCCTGTGAGAGATGGTTAATATTGCCAACTTAACTTTGGCAACACACTGTAGGTATTACTTTTCCTGCTACTGACTACATATCTTTTTGTAATGGAATAAAATGCGTAACACTGCGGAATACATTGTTCATTGTTTGATAGTTGTGTACATCAGTTTTTTAAATTATATCTACATTTATTTTTAAAATTAGACAGCCATCTTTGTTATTTTGCAGAATGATTTACTTTGATTTATGTGTCTCAACGAGGTAACAGACTGAGACTTTGTTCCCATTGGTTACAAACAGTTGGATACAACAGATTTCATGAATATTTAATAAAATGCATGTAAAAACATGAAAAGAGGAAGAATAATTTTTGAATAAACTTGCACAAGTATAACCAAACAGTCTATTTAAATTCTTCTATGGCACACTATCCATATTTAAATATGAAATAACAATCTTAATAAATGCACAGAAAATCAACCATTATTAGTATTTTTGAGATCAAAAATATTACACTTTATTATGAAATTTTTGCTCGGTATCTTGTATATTTCATTAATAGTTAGGGATAGCAAATTTATCATAAAGGCTAAGTTTTTGTCAAATCACTCATCGATATTCAATACATCCTAAGAACAAATAATAATAAAACAGATTATTTAATATCTGGCTAACATTATTTATTCTGTATCTGAAGAAAAAAAAGTTTCTGTCTGCAATTTTAAAAACATATATTACTTTTTGGTTTTATAATTAGGATATCAAATCAACTATCAAAATATTCATTAAATGCAGGAAGGAGAGGAAAAGACAATGAATTGCAACAGATTTATCTAATTATGTAAATTACATATCAAGATAATATAAAAGGCAGAATGAAGTTTAAATATAACAATATAATTTAGTAAGGGTTGTGGAACCCCTATTAAATAATGCCACAGGAAAAATTTCTGTCAATTTTTCAACAATTTATGATAAAGATAAATTTGCATATTTTCTATGAAATAAGACAACAAAGTAGTACAGTAAAAGACCCAAATTTAAAATTAGAAAAAATACAGATGTAATGTTAGATCAATGAAGTTAAAAAATAATAATTTTATATCTCTTTTAATATAACACAGTTGAGCAAGCTTTTTGGCTATAGAAGCAGAAAAACATATATGTGCTATAAAAAACTGGTTACAGAAAACTTGACAAAATGATATAACAAAGAACTGAAAAATTGGAAAGAACATTGATACTGTGTGTAAAATAGCATTTAAGTAAGATCCAGATTTCTGACAAATAATGGTTCAACATCAAGTTATTAGCATTACTGCTATTTTACAGTTAAACCAACAAGGCTATCAAAAATCAATAACAGAAAGGAAATTCTAACCTTTGAGCTTCTGTGGGGTTTTGAATAATTGATTTTTCGCCATCTATCCTAAATTGTTTTAATTGATGTGAAAGCATGCCTGGAAAATATAAATTAAACATCAAGCAAGAACAAAAATTTCAAATGCAACATTACATAAAACAAATATTTATATAATATAATAATAACTTTGTTAGAAATATGTAACTTAAATCAATTTTTTAAATTTAAGAAATCTAAAAAACAGTATAAATTTAAAATGCTCAACTACATTAAAAAATACTATTAATTTGAATACACAGAATAACATACCTTCAACTGGTTTACACTTATACGATTCAGCAACTTTTTGAATAGTGTCCGTAACAGAATTATTCTGAAAGGAAATTAACAAAGCAAGAATATTACTATATGGAGAAATTTAAACTTACACACTTTTTAACTGGAGGCATAAACTTAAGTGTTCGATTATGCCTATTTTTATGCAAAAAAACATACAAGACAACACATGCTAGATTTCACGGTTTAAAAGAAAGAATTAATGTAATCATTACAAAAGAAATTTTTTTAAGGGAAAAAAAAAAACTTTTTTTTTTTATGTTCTTTAAACCTAAATTAATCTATGTTCCCTAGACTTTATCGGTATTTTAATTAACTTCCCAGACATTTCCAAATTGATAATATTTCCTAACTTTTCCTTATTCTGAGACAATCCAAAGTTTAAACCACAGAAAATGTATTAATTCCTTAAAAGAAATTAGCATTGTATTAATGTATTTCTACAACCTTTAATATTCTTAACATTTGATTTTTTAACTTATACAAGACCTAACCATGACTGTCCTCTGATGGGTAGTCCAATATAGTTCACAGCATGGAAATTGTAATGATAGATATTTTCTTTATCCTTTCAGTGAAGATAAAGACCGGTTTATTATGCAAGAAATCTGCCATGACGAGACACTAAAGATAGCACTTGTCTTGCAAACTTTATAAACCAGTTTTTATTTTCAAAATTTATTTTTGACTAAAGAACTAGAACATAAAGAAACGAAAGTCAGATAAATTGGAAGTCTAGAAGCTAAGAAAATTTTGACATTAACTTTAAAAATAATTTCGAGATAATGATGCCTGATGTTGTACGTAAAACTAAGCAGTGCAACTTGCCAATTTTTAATAAATTGACTTGCAATAATCTTAAATAACTAAACAAATTAGGTTAAAAAAAAAAAGTAAGTTTATAAAAAATAAAGTTACAAAGTTTACATAACTCTGAAATAAGTCCCTTTAATGCACTGTTTAACCGGAAAGCAACACTACTGCATCACATGTTGTTCACCAACAACCTTCTAGAGAGTGAATTCTAACAATGATGCTTGTAATTTATGTTTGTGAAAAAAGATCAGTCATTGTTTGCATTTGCTTCATGCGTTGTTTCAAGGTAAATAATGCATTTATAATAGCCTGGAATTATATATCTATAAATATCCATTTTATTTTCTAGCAATAAATCTACAAATAATTCAATAAAATTATAAATTAACAATTATAGAAAAACAAGCTTTAAGAGCACATTAGCACTTATTGAAAAAAAAAAAAAAAATGATAAAAAGGAAAAATAACGAAGAGCATGATTTTATGATACTGAAAACAAGAAAAACTTTCTTACATCACCACCAGGCTTCACTAGCCTTAAAGCAGCTTCAGCTGCATAATAAGCAGCATGTAGTACATCAGCTTTTCTTCCAGTCACTTTATTGTCCTAAAATATAAATAAAATAATTAATATACATAAATTAACTATAATTAAATTCATAGATTTCAGCATATGAATTTAAGAATTAACGTACCTTTGAGGCTCCGACGACAATAGTGTGCGCAACAACAGCAATAAAACCATCGATATGAGCACCCAAATCTCTGAAATTACACAAATTGAAATAGTTACATAATATTTACACATAAAAAAAGGAACATCATTGAACTACTAAAAATGTTAATAATGAGATATTTATGAATTTAATTTTTTAGTAGTTGTACTTATAGCTAATACCTATAAAATTTTTTTGTTTTGCTGAATAAAGAACTAACTACTACCAAATATAATCAAGCATAGTTTTGTAAGTGAGGAAAGAATGTGATCTATAATTAAAAAGAATGGTTGAAAACTCAATTAAGACTATTTTGTAGACAAGTAAATTATAAACAAATGTTTGTTTTTAAATGCTGCTTCATTGGATGGAATGCATCAAAAATATTAATATTTAATATGAAAATTTATACATTATAATTAACTGATCAATGGGACAAAAAATATTGCCGTTTTAAAAATGTTAATATAATAATAATAACAAACTTTAATCAAATTACAATTTAAAACTACAGTTCTTACCTCCTATTAAAATAAAATCTATTCTGAGAACATTTCATTTTATAAAGTGGCTGTTTTTATAAACTGGAATATCTTCAATTAAGGGGAGGAAAATTTCAAAGTTATACTTTACAAAAACAAGAGAAGCTAAATTGATTACGGCATTTATATTTTATTTTTACTGAATCTTCATGGGTTTTATATTAGCATATTATCTGATAAGTTCATTTTAAAATAATTTTATTTGTATTCTACTGTCTGTGTAAACTTAAATTGAATGATTGATGATCACTGACATTAAATAAGTACATTACTATTTTTATTTTTAACCGTCCAGTTTTTCTAAGAATTATAATCCACATCTGTAACTTGATTCTTTTAATTTGTGGGGAGTCGAATGAATTTGTTATCTGCTTTCAAAATTTTAGTGGATAGGTTTTAAACATCCAGACAAACAAAACTATGATTTTCATCTTTTGAAATTTTTATCTTTTGAAATTTGATCAACAATAAATTTTATTGGAGGCAGGTTTTAAGCATGCTTTGATATTGTAATGATCCTTTTCTTGCAGATTTGATTTTAAAAACCAGCTGAGTTTATAATTTAGTGTTTCTATTAGTGGCAGCTGCAGCATCAATAGTAAAGATATCACTAGCGGGGAAAAAAAAAAAAAAAAAAAAAAACTAAGTTTTAGACCTATAATTTTATGTGTGGTTTTTTCCAACTTTCTTAAAATTATAACAAATAAAAATAAGAAAATAACAGATTAAAGGAAGAATCTCTTGCACGGAAATATTTCAAATAACTTTTGTAATTTTTTCAAAAATTTTTTTAAGCTGATTTTATAATTTTTTTTTTGTCACAATAAGAAAGGCACCAAAGGAGATAAATAAAAACTTAAACCACACATCTTGATTAGCAAATTTTCAAAAACAAATTTATAAGAATTATTGATGCTTACAATTTAACCATATCTCCATCAGCTAATATATAATCAGGCTCACTCTTCAGAGGTGAAAAATGGCATATACAATTATTCACGGAAACACATGTGGGGAAAGCAATTCCTGAAAGGACAAAAAGAAAAAAAAAACTGTAATTAAAGAAATAAAAAATACAACATAGGAAGTAAACTAAACTATTTTGATTACTTGTTTAAAATGATTTTCAGCAATGTTCTAAACACACTTAAGACAAGTAAGTGAGAATAAAATGCAGTATTTTAGATACAACTATAAATTTTATAATAACTAGTAAAAAGAAAATAAATAAGCCTTTGGTAAACGGTTAGTTAATGACAACATATCAAATATTTCAGAGATAGGAAATCTTAGAGATTTTATATTCACCAGCAAAATATACAAAAACTATCATACACTATTAATTATAAGTTTAAATTGACAGCAATATTTTCATTTAATTTTTTATAACTGAAATGAAAGAAATTTCTAGTTAATAAAGGATTCTTTTCCAACCTTTTTCTTTTTTTTGCTACTTCAGGAAATTTTCAATAACATGCACAAAAACTGGGATAATTTCATTAAATGAAAAAGCCAGTAGAAGCTGGTAAAATCCATATGAGTTATACAGGAACAATTTAGCTTTAAATCTAGAAAATATATTTTCTCGGCAATTTCAATTTAATTAAAAAATAACAGATGTAAACAATGTTTACTAGAAGATACCATTAAGTGACATTTTCAAAAACTATTTTCCAAGATAAAGGACATGTTATGGTCACCATAAAACATTGCTGTCTTCTTTGTTTAAATTCATTCAACTGTTCTTAAACCAATATATTACAAATAGTTATATAATTATTCATTGAGTAGGAGGCACAAGTAAAAAAGTTATTAAACTTATTAACCTTTTTTCATTTCTTTCTCCTTCTTGAAAACTTTCCCAGTTTCTTCAATAAGCAATTGATCTCCAGCTTCGCAGATTGAAATAACACTGGCACCGGGGTGACATTTTTCTATTAATAGGTTTAATACTCCTAAAAAAGAAAGTGCACAATTTTAATACAAACCAATTGATTTCTTAATTTTTTTTCTTCTTTCATGAATACCTAGGCTCCACGCCAGTAAGACAGGATAGGTAATGTTCCACAAATGCCACTAAAATCATACACAAGGGACACAAATTTGTAGTCATGAAATCGCAATTTACAAAAGAGTATTTGAACTGAATTTCACGCACTTAATGAACCTAATTAGTTTTAGGGAATTTTATAGATGGCAAATAGTTTTGGATGTGATAATAAATCATTTTTGATATAACAAGAACCACATAACATGAATTATGTAATTGTAAGTTTGATTTTCCTAAAGTTCGTCTAGCATATAAATTTTTTGACCTCTAAATGAATACTTAGGTGGTCCTATTGGACCACTAAATTTTCACTGCTGGTGTGAACCCTACGAATACCCATATAATATAACAAAGTTTCAATATTCTATCAAATACATAATTAAAAATATTTTGCTAAGCATATTTAATACGCATTTATTATTGTTACTTTCAATGGAAGTTGTAAAAAAAAAAAAGTAAATCCAATGATTTAACAGTAATAAGTTCATGTAATAGCAACTGAAAAATAAACTAAATGTATTTCTAAATAAGACCTTTTAAGGTTAATTATTTCTTGTAATTTAATTAGCTGGCAAAAAACCAAAACTTCAATTCATGTGAAAATATTTTGGGAATAAAATTGAAGTTAATTATTTTTATAAATTTCATATAAAAATAAGAATAAAAGACATTTAAAAACTAGTACAATAAAAAGCTTTACAGGAAATATGTATTAAAATTCTCTTCCGAAAATTTAATTGAGCAAAAATGTATTCATTTTGAAAATCTGTAATGAATCGAATCTGTATCAAATTTAAAATATCAACTCCCTTGTAACAAGTTTGCAATATCCATCCTCGTATCTGCTTCAAAATAGCGAATCCAAAACAATTGAATACAGATCAAGTAGATAGAAACTAGTCCATGTCAATACATAATAGAAACTGACCAGAGTTCATACATGATCAAGGTAGTACTTGCTTTTTTCGATATTGATAATTACTTAGCCCAAAATTATTCAATTCCAAAATAAATACAAGATTGTTATACATAGGATTACTTAAGATTTAAAAATAATTTTACTACTTAATAGAGTTATTTTTTCGTTACTTTAATACTTCATAAATGTTGTATTCATTTAAAGTACTAAGTACTTCAAATACTTAGTATAAAATATCAGAAACTAAATTGGGAATATTGATGATCTAGGAATGATAATTTCAGGGCTTTAATTACACATTTAGGTAAATAACTGAGAAATTGGTTTATGCAAATAAAATTTATATAGTTTATCAAATTTTTAATTTATTCAATTATAAAATTTTAATTATTAGAATAGGATATATTTGAGAAAAGATGGCTAACTTCACAAACATAATAACCATGAATAAAAGATAAAAAAATTACAAAGTAAATTTTACAAGTATTATAATTTAACTTATAAAAAGAAACAATAGAAGATTTTATATTTCACCAGTCATATTTTGAGACAAGAATTAAATTTCTATGACTTAATGTAAAAAAAAAAACTTAAAAGGATTTCATACCATTAATAAAATGTTTAATACCACTTAAGCACATAAATAAAAAATATAATAAATATATAGATAACTGTATATCTCTTAGCTAATTGAAAGTTTTATTACATAACATAAAATGTTACTTAACATTATATTTTGTGAATAAAATTTTTTACTGCACATTTTTATCTATTCTTGTATTCTGCACAAATGCAGCTTTATAAATGAATATCTGTTTTATTTAATGGGACAGTTATATGTAATCAAATTTTTTCACAATTAGACCAGGGGTTCTAGATTACATCTAGATAAAAAAAAAATAAAAATAGAGAAAATATTTTTTTTTTAAAAAGATAGAAAACACACACACAAAAAAAAAAAAAAAAAAAAAAAAAAAAGTGTATAGAAAACTATTTTTATATCAAATGTTAATTTTTTTAAAAAATTTATCCTGAATTTTAATTTTGTTTTTAGTTAAATGTAGAGTTTACTTTTAAACTACTAATCTTGTATTGCAACAACGAACAGTTTATAGGTTAAACCTAATGAAATAGAATGTATTATAATAACAAATGCTATAAAAATTACAAATGTTTCAGGGGTCAGTTTAGAAGAAATTTGGATAACGGACCCTTCACAAAATATCTCTTCATAAAAACGGACCCTTCACATATTTTAACTTAAAAACAGACCCTTCACAAAATAATTTATCTTCATCATTGTTTTGTTAATCAAATAAACCCTTCCCAGGAAGGGGAGGGGGAAAGAAAGACGTTGAGTAGTATAGGCTAGATACCAAATATTTGTATGTAGCATCTCTATTTCAGAAGCAGCAAATGCTGTTAATTTTTTAAAATTAAATTTTTTTAAAACTATAATTTTACAGTGTTGAGCATAATCTTGTACGTCTTTACAATTTAATTTAAAAGCTCCTTCTTGAAAAAGTTTTTTGCAATAACAGGACCCTATTTGCACAAATTCACAAGTGCAGGACCCTGGTTGAAAGAATGCAACTTAACGTTTATTTTATATTCACAAATTACAAGCAATTTTTTCACAATTTTACAAAAACGGACCTTTTTTCAAAATGTCTGGACAGACCCCTTTGTTTGCTAAAACACTTAGATAACATGTACCCAACGAATGTACGCACCCAAAAGGTTACATTATGTTTACAATTATTATCTCATTACAAATTAAGCTATAAATTACTGCTTAATTTGTGCAAGCTATTACTGCTTAGTGTAGTAAATAAATCAATAAATATATAACTTAATGTCTAATTACAGGGTTCTCCAAATCAGAAAACTGTCAGTGAAGTTATTGTGAGAACTAGTTTTGTTTGTTAATAATAAACTTAGTCTCTCTGTTTAAGTAACACGAATGCTCTACTTTACAGAGCTCATAGAAGTAGATAAATTTAAAGATTTAACTCAGAAGCCTTTAGAGGCAACTTTCAAGTTATATCAAGAACTTGGAGATATTTCTGTACTGTGATCTGTTGTGGCAACTACAGTCGCCAAATAGATTTTAAGCTTGCAAATTAAAAAAAAAAAAATATATCAGGGTTCTGTCTAGGTTTTTTTGTGAGGTACCTATTTTGTGAAAATTTAGACACATGTGAAAATTAAAAATATTAAAAAATCAACACAAAATGTGGTAAAAATATGGATTTATCATTTCTTATGGGATACAATAATAAAATTTTAAGAAAGAGTATTTTGTGAAACTACCGTTTTTCCCAAAGCTGAATTTGTGAAGGTACCGCTAAACGGTAGTAAATTTGGCCTGGACAAACCCCTGAATATAAATGTTTGCCTAGAGTTGGTTATGAGTGATAATTTTCCAGTTGGTCCCTTTTTGTGATGTTTATTATTTTATAATTACTCCTGGGCCACAGTCCAGAAGTCGCAAGACTTCTGCCATACATTTTGAAAATTCTTGCTATTTGTTTAAGAACTTATGAAGTTTAATCAGTTCAAATATTCTGAAGTGGCTTGACTTTCTAATGCTCATAACCACAATTAAAGGTATATTAGAAAGGTAATCTTCAATGACAGCTTTTTATAGTGCATCATGTTGAGAGTTTTTATTAAGATTGAAATTCAAAAGAATGAAACTAAACAGTAGTTTTTAAAGTCGTATCATATTACAGCTTAGGATAAGTCACAACCTGAAGTGTTAAAGGTAATAAGCCTGAGATTAACCCGGTTGTAATTTAATCAGTTGTAATTAATCCTATTTCACTATATCTATAAAAATGTGAATTGTGAAATGATGCAAATTAACTAACAAGGACATAGGAAAATATGAAATCTTTATTCGTTTGAAATTTTCAATATGCTAAGATTTAAACTTAGATAATAAAGATAAGCTCATAATATATAACTGTAGGAATAAATATCTCTTTATTATGTATTTCACTAAATATAATTCTTTGTATTTTTTAAATACTACAAGAAAACCAGAAAACTATGGGATGTATTTTATATATATTTTTAGCTAATAAAACACATGGTCTCCCACAAGAGCCAGATGCTCCAGTATCTAGTTGGTTCCGATAGATCTGACCAAAAATGTTTAATGGATCAATTAAGATACTTTTTAATTATACGTACTATTAACCATTTCTGCGGCCATTTTATACTTGGTAACAACCAAGTCTTGAGCGATAGTTGGCTCTCCGGTCTCATCTTTGTCCGCCATTTTCAAGTTTTCAACACGATTCACAAATTTCAAAACACAAATGCCATTGAAGAAGTTGAAAAGTATCAAGCAGAAACATAGGTGCAAGGCACAAAGCAAATTATAATAAGATTGAAACAGTCTCAAATGGAAAATCTACATAAGGCTTCTTTTAGTTCAATTAAATGTTTTAAATATTGATAAAAAGCTAAAATAAATTATTCACTTTCTTAATATTTAAAACGATTAAAATTAAAAAAAAATTGCGAAAAATTACTGTTTCGATTACGAAAACAGGGGGCGCAGGTTTGCGTAAATGTTTTGTTTACTTCCATTTTTTTCGTTTGTATTTGGCATTTTTTAATTATCAGATGTAAATTTCTTAATCACCAGTCGTTTTCCTGTAATTTTCATGCGAAAAAAATTTAATCTTTTATTATTATAACGATTTATTTTTATTTCGAATAGTTTGGGAATTTATTAGCTTGGCTGAAAATCAGCTGTGTGTATATTGTTTGTTTACATCGTAAAGGTCTTTGGACTGTAAGTAAGAACAAAAACTTAAATTTATAATAACTGCATGTCAGTTCCAGATTAATGTAAAAAAAGATCTCAAATGCATTTTTAATTGTTATTAAATGTTGTCGATTTTAAGTAATATGAATGTTAGTATTTTTAAAGACATTTCTGACCTCAATATTGTGTTCCTTAATATTATTTATGTGAATAAAGGTAGAATTTTATCGAAAGTTTTTTTTCTATGTATTTATTTTTAATAAATCTCGTTTGAATCAACGATTTTTAACACGTAAATATTTAATATAAAATTTTCTCTTCATGCTTTTAATTTTAATGTATAGGCTAAATCCCTTAAAGCAAAACGTTTCAAATCAAGGTCTGAAAGTGTCTACATGTTAAAAGCCCAAAAATCTTAGTATCAATAGTTTACAGTTTTAAATAATGCCTTTTTTTTGCATTTATCTTATTTATAAGCTTTGTCAGATTTTAGCTTAAGTTTAAAAAATTATGTTTTTCTAATTCTAAATATAGTAGTATTATCCTCAATTTTGCAGATATTTTGTTTTAGTAGTAAATACTGTTATGTTTTCTTTTTCTTTTAACCAAGGACATTGGAAAAAAAAAAAACTTACCATAAAGCCATGTAGTGTAAAGTTTCTTTGGGAAGATTTCTATATTGGTTCCTGCTCCAAAGTAATCTCCAATTTTTAACTACTTTGGGGCATTGAGCCACAGAAAATTAAAAAAGGCATCACGGAAGGGGATGCCACCACAGAAATCCTTTACATATTTTTGATAAAAGTTTTTTAAAGTTTTAATTTCTTTTTGGATCTTGAGGATTGTAGAGAGATTGAACTGGTACTAATATGGAAATATTCTCTTTTACATTATTTGTTTGGTTAAAAGTTATTGTTTACTTATTTCACGTAACATGAGGTGTTATAATGAATGATCACTGCATTGCTCTTGTTAAAGCACAAAGATATGATTCTTGTAGTTCAATTTACATATTTGTTTGAGCTTCAACAATTTAACAAAAATATATCGAAAATAGGATTTTCCTAAATCATTATTTTGAATGATTTATTTCCTTTTGTTTACAGCAGTTAAAATGAACTGAATTTCAACCCCATTCATCTTTGTTTCACTTTATATGTATCTATATATTATGAGTTTTTAAATCTGTGCATGTTACAACAAAATGGTTGTAAATTTGACAGCAATGTTCATAAACTTAAAAAAATGAAAAATCACTGAAGGAGATAAAATAACAGGTATAATTTGTTGCTATAACCATGTACTACTTTCTAAGTAAATTTTACATATTCTCTTATAATTATAGGTACATGCTTTGTACATACTTCATAAATTATGAACGCTTTCTTTAAATTTTAATTTAATGTTTTTAGCAAGTATTGAGTTAAAATGTTAAGATGACCGAGAAAAAAATTAAATTTTGCATCATTAAAATTTTACTTGGGCCACGAAAAAATAATTATAAATGGTCTTCTGTACCAGCAATCAAAGTAAAAGGATGTTTTGACGCTTTGATTTTTGATATGAGTTTTTGTCCAAAATAGCATGTTTCATCGTAATTGTGAACACTACGCACTCTGAATTGTAATTTTTTATTTAAAATTACTTTATTTACGTTGTTATGAAAAAATCTGATTGTGACATAAATGGACCAGTCAAAATGTGCGCAGATTATAGTTTGTCTATTGAAAAAACTCCCCTCGCTACAAAGTCTGAGGCCAACTGCTGCGATGAAAACAAGAAATCACATATCAAAGGCGTGATCTCTATTTCTCTTGATTCATTTTTTCGCTCTAACTTGAGCCAAAACCTGCCTTAAATATTGATCTGACATCCCTACTTGAAATAGTTAAACATTTTAACCATAGCAATTGCCACTGTTCCAGACAAATGGCTATTGGAGTTTTTTTTCCATAGACAGAATTTATGAATATCCTTTAGTTTCTGTTCCTTTGAACCAGTGATTAAGTTTTACTCCTGGTATATAATATTTAGAAGAATATTTAATATTTTTCTAATAGAATATTTAATATTTAACCTAACAAAAAAACTGGTATTGAATAGTTTTTTGTTAAGTATAAAATTATTTATAAAAAGAATATTTGTAATTCTCTATAGTAAATTACTTATTATTTTTGTAGATAAATCTTCTAGTTTTGTAATGTCAACGGTTCAGAACTGGACTGGAGATGCTATTGATGTAGCATTGGCTGCTGACTTTGAAGGTAGCTTATCATGTCTGGGTATTGAACTTGGCACTGAAAACTATGATATGAGGTATATTTTAATAATCTTGAAATTGTTTTTAGAAGTATATACTTACTATATAGTTTATTATTATTTTATGGATATAAAACAATTTGAGTTGGCTTGAAAACAATTTGACTTGGCTTAAAAACGATTAAAATTTTTTTTTTTTTTGTGATGTGTTTCTCTGAACTGATTTTTAAATCTATTTAGATTGCCTGCATCAGAAATAGAAAAATAATATACAGTGAAACTTCCAGGAAAGACCACCTCTATGTAGGACCACCTGTATTTACGACCACTTTTGGGAGGCATAGAATTTTTTCCATAGACTTTGTGTTGAGAAAAACCTTTAGGAGAGACCATTAGAACCTCTCTCAAGACAGGGCAAACATCTGCACAAAACACGAAAAAATATCAAAACAAAAAATGTAACTAAACAAATAAGTAGATAAAAATGCATTTAAAATATTTGTGTTAGATATTCAACTTAGAGAGCTCTTTTTGACGATACAACCTCATGTTGCAATCAGAGTGCAATTAATGATTTACTTTTAGATTTGAAAGTTAAATTAGAAAAAAAAGTAATTTTGGAAAAAACAAGCATCTCAAACAAACCTCTTTTCATATTTTAAAGCTAACTAATTTTTATGATATAAAATTAAAGGCAAACTTAAATAAAAAAACATAATTGTTTGTTTATTTAAAATGGCTTTATCAATTCATAATTGGTAAATTTGTTTTTACCTATAATTATATCAGTTGGATTCATTTTCGTAGATGCTTAATTTTAATCATCAACCCGTCTTTTCATGATGCCAACAAAAGTGGCATTTCTGCACCAAGAAAATGACACTAAGTAAAATTAAAATCATTTGCTAAAAATCATCTACCTGTGATAACGAATTTAAAGTTAATGAAGGTAACCTCTAGGAACGATCAATTTCCATCTACGAACATTTTACTGTGGTATGGAGAGTGGTCGCTCCCAAGAGGTTTCACTGTATAATTATTTGAAATTTGTACTGCAATCATTAACTTCATACAGTAATTAATAACTATACAGTTTATCATTACCTTACAATTTATTTTAAAACACTTTACGTCCATATTTGTATAGTGATTTTTNATTTGGTTCAGGATTAAGGTTAGTTAAAACATATATGAAGATAATTATATTGAACAAAAAATATTATTTGAAAAAAAAATATTTAATACCTTTTTTTAAATTTTTTTTTCTTGTATTAGAACGTTTTTAATATTTATGTTCTAAATCTAATTTGGATTTTTCTAACTCTTCAAATTTTTCAAAATCAAAATGAGTTTGCATTGCATGCAAATTTTCTTAAGAAAACTTTTTTTTTTAAAATTAGTCAGAAAACCATATCTAATACTTGTTTTAAAATTTAATATTAAATTTTTTTCCTTTTCTTTCTTATTTTTTTATGTATTTAACTCAAAATACATTTCTAATGTAGTTGTTTGTTGATAGTGCACCTTTGCATTCTTTGATTCAAAGTGTTTCAACTGCTGATTATTCTGGAAGTCATGAAAATGGGTAAATATGTTTTAGTTTTTTATTTCTGCTAAAATATGTATTTTAAATTGTAAAACTTTAGATATTTTTTCTGCTTTTCTCTTCTTTTTCAGAAATTTCCTGTATGAAATAGGGCAAATTTAAATTATGATCTTATATTTTTCTTTGTGTCAGTCAATCTATTTTTTTTTTATCGAAACCTTAATTTCTATTCTAAAATTGATTTCTGTTGTTCTTAGATTTAATTTGCATAGATGTATAATTATTTTTTTTTAAAGCAAAATTGAGATTTTATAAATTTAGATGATTGATGTTTGTTAAAGATTATTTTTCCAGTTTTTATTGTGCAATTATATTTTATTGTTTTTTTTTATGGTTTAGTTATTTTTTTAATGAAACCTGTTAATTAATCAGCAAACACAAATGTATGAATGAAATTTTTTTATTTCTCCTAGTTTTCTTAGTTTAAACAATGATTTTATCCTGTACTATTTTCCATTTCATGACTGAATATTTTTGAAAACGATTTTGATTGCTCATAATGAATAATTAAATTAATTAATTTATTTTTGAATATTTATTTTATTATTAAATAATTTATTATTAAAAATGAAATTTATTATTTATAATTTATTAAGAAAAAAGGGTTATTTAATCCTTTGATTACCTAAATTGAATGTAATTAATTTTTGCTATTCCTTCAAGTATAAAAAAGTAATTTAGTCTTAAATTTTTAACAGCATTTTTATTTTATTCAAGATTATTGTATTGAGTTTCTCCATTTGTAAATAAAGAATTTTCAAAAAAAAAAAAAAAAAAAAAAAGAAAAAAAAAAAAAAAACTCCAACCATAGCTTTTTATTAATAATGAATGCGTGCAATATACTTGCCTTATTGAAAATTATTTTAATCATTATTTCAGAGATGTTTCACCGTCTAGAGAGAGTCCTTTTCCTCCAGTTGAGCCTGTAAGAAATCCCTATTCTGCTCAAGCAAAGAAAACTAGATTAGCATTAAGTGGGGATGAAGATGTTACTAGCGCCATCAAACGATTTTGTGTTAGCAGTGAAGATAAGGAAAATAGTGACAGTTCACAAAGTTCCAGGTAATTACATTAGTTTTAATGTGAGAACATTTTCACTTCCTGTTATTTCCAGTTTAAAAATTAAAATTTAAATAATTCAGATATGTTTGTTAAATGTCTATAGCAAGCAGTTTAATATATTTTTTATTCATATTGTGAATGTTTTCTTCCTGTGAATGAAAAAAATTATTATTTTAAATTACTGTAGCAATTTTGTTTCGAATATCACTGGTTATCTTACAATTTTATGAATTAAGTTTTGAAAGGTAAAGTTTTTATTTTTATGAGGTGATTATGCTGTTTATTTTCAAAAGTGGTGACTGCCACATATGATTGATTCTACCTTCAAAAAGGCTGTTTCCAAGTTTTAATTTAAGCAATTTCATTTACCTTTTACTCCTATTTTGTGGAAAACAGATATGAAACTTGTGCAAATGCTCGGAAAGTCTTCTGAAATCAAAACAAACATTTCAATAATGAAATTCTTTCTACTATTCACTCATCAGTTATTCTTGATGTCCTTGATTTTTCTTTCAATAATTTAAAAGCTTGTTTTTTAGTAAATGAACTTAGTTCTGGGCTGGTTCTGCATTGCACATGGATATGTATTCTGCATCCTTAGGCACCTAAAATTTATCCTTCACCATTATTATTATTATTTTTATTGTCACCTGTGTCCTTACTATTTTCATCATTTTGCATTGTTTCTTTTAAGTTTTTATCATTCACATGTTGTTCTGAGGAAAAGAGTCAAGTTTTGGGCATTTATCTAAATTCCTTTTTTTCTATTTCAACTTTATAGCTAAAAAATGTTTTCTAACACCAAATAATTATACATTTTTTATTCTTGTAGCAAATTTTTCCATATCATAGAAAGACAAAACAATCGTTGTTTTAATGTATTGTTTTGATTTAAAGGTCCTTTTGCATTTTTAAAAAAGATTTTGAAAGATACATTTTTTTTAGCAGGATAATTAAACAATGCATATTAAACAGTTTAATATATATTTTCTTACAATAAATTTCTTCTTTTATGCATGAAAAAAATGGAATATTTTAATTGTATATTTATTCTATATTAAGAGGTTTTTTTTTGTTTCAACTTCTAAGGAAAGTTTTTTATTTTTACAAAATTATTGTAATTTTAATAAACAGAATCTTTAGTATCTAGTTAAATGTGATGTGTGTAAAATGTTGTGTACAAATTATTTAATTAAATTTAAATTATTGTAGTCCTTAATGATAAAAAAATGAAGAAATTTCTTAAAATTTGTTATTTTCAATCTTGTTTAGTATTGATTGCATTGATTGTTTAGTAATTGAAAGTTATCTTTTTCTTTTCTTTGATACTATAAATTGCTTTTCCACTAAATTTTATTTTTTCAGGAATAATTTTTTATTTCATTTAGGTTTTGTTAATAATGTGACAAATGAATAATTTTTCAGTCCATTTCAGAAATGCCTACAAATATTTCTTTCACTTTTTTATGTTTAATAAAATTAAATATCTATTATTTGGATATAATTTGAAATATATAATCACAATTTAGTTCATAATTGTATTAAATATTTTAAAAATTTGTTTTTTTATGAATATTGAAATATTACATTGTATTCTTTAACTTTTTATAGATTTCTAATCTCGTATCTTATTTTACCCTCATTAATGCTGCCCTTTTTTTTTCAATCTTTAGTGATAATGCTATTTGTAAAGTTTTTTTTTACTAATGTGCTATTAACAAAGTGTCTACCGATTATGAAAACCATAAAATTCCCGAAAAAGTCACAAATTTTTTCTTTTTAAGCGTTTTTCCAATTGATAACTCAAATTCAAAACTTGTGTGTTGTAATATCGCATTTATGATGTATAAATTTGAAAAATTATATGAAAACTGCCAAAAAACTGAATAAAAATGAGTCTCATTGCATGCAAATNATTTCTTTCACTTTTTTATGTTTAATAAAATTAAATATCTATTATTTGGATATAATTTGAAATATATAATCACAATTTAGTTCATAATTGTATTAAATATTTTAAATTTTTTTTTTTTTTTTTATGAATATTGAAATATTACATTGTATTCTTTAACTTTTTAGAGATTTCTAATCTTGTATCTTATTTTACCCTCATTAATGCTGCCCTTTTTTTTCAATCTTTAGTGATAATGCTATTTGTAGAGTTTTTTTTTACTAATGTGCTATTAACAAAGTGTCTACCGATTATAAAAACCATAAAAGTCCCGAAAAAGTCACAAATTTTTTCTTTGTAAGCGTTTTTCCAATTGATAACACAAATTCAAAACTTGCGTGTAGTAATATCGCATTTATGATGTATAAATTTGAAAAATTATATGAAAACAGCCAAAAAACTGAATAACTACCGAAACACAAAATCAGAAAATGATGTGAGCTTATGGCGAAATCGATATGAACGAAGGTAATTTAAAATGATGCCTCGAATTAGAACTTCGTATGTCATAATGACATCTTATTAAAAACATCAGTGTTTGAAAAGCTTTGTTGTGGAAAGGACTAACCTTTCATGTAAAAACTTAATTACCTAAATTCGCGTATCATTGTTACAGCATTGTAAAAATAATGAAATTTGAAAAAAAGAAAAACACTTAGAAAGGGCTACAAAAAAAAAAAGGATCAGAAAATAACATTGATTTCTGATAAATTCATTGCAAATTTGTGAGATTAATAAGTGTTGACTCTAATTCAAAATTCTTGTGTCATGATAACATATTAAAAGCATCAAAGTTTTAGATGGCAAATGCAAATAGCCAAAAAATAAATAATAGCTGCTAAAAAAAAGACTGGGGTTTGTGATGAAATCTTCACAAATCAAGCACGTCTAAAAGTGATTTCTCAAATTCATGTATGCTAATGACTACATATTATGAATTTCAGAAAAAAAGAAAAGAAAAGAAGTGGAAATGGCAGAAAAAACGATCTTGAGCATTACGAAATTAGAAAGGATAATATCCCGAACTAAGCACATATTGAAATTCGAGAGTCTTAAAATTATCAGAATTTGAAAAATTGTATGGAAATGCCTAAAAAATGTTAAAAAAACCATATGGATTTTAAAGGAAATAGACCTTTTAATTAATTTATTTCTTTTAATATATCTGGCACAAAATCATAGTTGAAGAGTCTATCCAAAGGGCTAACAAGCAATGCTCCCCCCCCCAGAAAAAATTTGACTAATTTGAAGAAAAGGAAATTTACTTTAAATGAAGAAGAAGAATAAAAGAGTAGAAATTTATTTCAAACGAAGGTTAATGTTCTGAAATAGGGAATTTAAAATAATTCAGCCAGAAAATGTTTCAAAGAGCTTTTTCAAACCTTTAAAAGAAGTGGAAAATGGCTGATGAGCATACTAATTTGATAAACAATAACAGTGTAAATACTATGTTAAATGAAATATAATGTTGCATGTATCTTTCACAAACAAAATGTATATGCTTAAATTTGCAATATTGAGTAATATCAATGTATTCTTATGTAAATAATTCTTTTAGAATTTTTTTTTTTTGGAAATTTATTTTGATCTAATATTTATTTTATTGTATTAGCGTGACATGTTTCCATAATAAGAAAAGCTGAAGAAACGATTATAATTTAAAACTGTTAGATAATATACTAAATCTATTTTTACTGTCGAATTGACCTGTGCAATCACATAGAAAAATAACAGTACTGGAAAATAACACATTATTATTCCTTTTGTCTATTTGAACAATGTATTGTGTAATGCTTCAGATAAACGTGATACCGAGACTTGAAAAAAACACAATAAAACAGCAGTATTTCTGGTTAATGGTTCATTGAAAAATTTCTGTTTTTTTAAATTTTATTTTACTAATTACATGAATGGGAAATGCATTCACTAACACTTGCATCAATTTAATAATTTCTCTAAAACAAAAAAGAAAAGAAAATAATAATTGAAAACAAAATGCTGTTTAAAAAAAATTATGAAAATTTGTTTTGAAATCATGAACTGGGACTTGTGTTATGTTCTAGTAGTGTTGTGTTAGATTTAAGAGAAATTATAACACTTGACAAAATCTCTCTATTATTGAATTCATTAATTGAGTTTATTACATTAAGTAAAAAATGCATTGTTTTGATATTTTTCTCCTATTTTTCATGTGTAGGTGCCGTCACAGTTCTTCTGTTCCAGATTTGAGGTCTACTGGTTCACCTTCCGTTGCTGCTGTTTCTGTTTTAAGTCCAAACATGTTGAGTCAAATGTTGCAGATTTCTGATTCACCGCCACCTTTTGTTATCAGAGAATTACCACCAAATTTAAAGAATTCTGGTTTTCAGTATGTGTTAGGGGCAGCAACTTCAATCGCAACTAAAATCAATGAAGAGACAATGACCTATTTAAATCAAGGTTGGTTTTATATAAGATATTTATTTTATACCTTTTAACTTATTGCATTTCAGTTACGAAGGTGTGGGCGACATTTTTTAAATTAATTGAATTCAGATATTCATCGACTTTTAAAGTATTCCTATTTTAAGGTTTAATTTTAAGTTATTAATTTTTTTGAAATTAATATCAAATAAAGGAATTTTTAGAATTTTTAAAAAAATTGAGATAAATTGAAAAACACTGTAAATAGCTCAGCAAAAGAAAAGAAAAATCTGATGAAATTTAGAAGTCTCTACTACAGTTCGAGTTGTGATTTTATTTTATTTTTCTAAGTCATAAATATTTAATAATGATGTAGCATTAAAGTTGCTTCGAAGTTTCTCTGTTTGTTTTAGAAAAAACATATTTAATGAATCGACTTTAGTATTCAGATCTTAAAATTTTATCAATATGTGTAAATATTTTAAAATTAATTGTCAGTAAAATTTTGATATTCTAGGCAATTTTAATTCCCTCATGGTGCCAAAAAGTATTTTAATATTAGTTTTGTGTTAGCTAGTGTTTTTTTTCTTGTTACCTTGATTATATTTGATTTAGTAAGACATTTATAAAAATTTAGTCTTTATCCTGTTATTTATATATGTGTATTTAATGCTGTTTTCTTTATTATAAATGAATTTGTTTAAAATTTATTTTATTTAAACATTTAAGCAAATCTTAAACTTATAGTGATATATTTATTATTTTCAGCACAATCTTATGAAATTAAACTTAAGAAACTTGGAGATTTGACAGAAATGAGAGGGAAAATGCTCAAGGTGAGAAAAATCATCAATTTAAAGTTATTGTTTCCTTTATTGCCTAAATCAATTATTTAAATGTATTAACACAAGTCATTATTATTTTAACAAAAAGTTATATTCTGAAGTTAGATTTTACAATAATGTCATTTTAGTTATTTTCGATCGCTTTGGTAATTTTTTTGTAAAAAAGTTTCTTTTATTTCATTTCTATACAATATCATTTTGACTTCTTGTTGCATTTTTTTTAAGTTGTACTTTAAAACTTGGAATTTCATAATTACAATAATATTATATTTAATGCAATAAGGATAATAAATGCTATCTAACAATTTATTTGTTGAGCTTATTTTTTAATAATTCTTTTCCCATGATTGTAAAATGATGATAATAAAAGAAAAAGAAATTGGATTTTTCCTAAATTTGATTTAACAAAAATATGTATTGGTAATAAAAATAAAGTTGGAATGTATTAATTTAAAGTAGTTATCCATTTCAAAATATTTAAAAAATAAAAGGGTGTATTTTTAGCTCAAAATGTGAATATCATAAAATTCTCTGCACTTTATATGTAATATATAATCACTTATAAAATTCATAATTATTGCTTTTGATTTTTTTCTTACATTTTAATATTGATTTGAAAAAGTATTTGGCTCATATTCTATTCTTTTCAGATATCCTTTTAAATAATTGTTCATTTTTTAAAAAAAAAAAATTGTATCAATCTATTGCTTGCTTAGCATTTTAACAAATTGATGTAACTCTGAGTTGTTTAATTTTAAAATCTTTTCATCACTGATACCATAACTAACCAAAACCATACTGCTTTTTTTTCTTCTGTAAAATCATTTATTGTCAATCTATATAAAAATGCATATTAAACTGAGATGCTATTAAAGATGCTGAGATGCTAAAAATGCTATTAAATCTGAATCAAAGGGTGACTGTTATCAAATGAAAACCAGTGGATTGCACTTGGGTTAAAATATTTTGCCCTTGTTATGAATGCATCCTTTATTCTCATAATCATTACTCTTAATTTTAATCTCATCTTTCTCGTAATCTCATCGATCTTCTGAACTTTTTTTCCCCTCTAATTTTCAACTCTATTGTTATTTTCCCATATAGTAAATTTATAATCAAATGGGATCCAAAGCAGCAAGGGAGGAGAATTTCTCTGGATTTTTGAAAAATCAATGCAAAATAGTATAAAGTAGGAAAATTCTTATTAAAATAGGGGTTCACAGTCTTTTTCCTAAGAGGGCCACAGAAAAATTGCATTGCTTTCAGGGGCCCCAGCCAATTTTCTTAATTTGCTTAATTTTTTTACGTTGCTTAGCAAGTTTTAAAATTTTATTTGCTTTGTACATGTTGTAGTTAAATAAAGTTCTCTTAAAAGAAATAGAAATATCTAAAATTTCTATTCTTATATCCATCTTATTCTAATATCCATCTTTTTACTCCTTGAAATATCTATTCTTTTTACTCCTTGAATTTGTTACTACTTCATTTTTAATTTGGGTATTTTTGAAATTTTTTATAAATTAACTTGAAAAACAGCTATAAACTTTTTCATGATTACACCATACTGCACTCCTACATTAAAATTAAAATTTTAACATAAGAGTTGATGTAAATAGATATTAATAGAGAAATTTAGTTATCCAATGTATGTGGGTTCAGGTTATGAATTTGTTAAATTGTACATGTTTGAATTAAAAGAGTGTTTACTGGAGTAAATTATTTTAAATTTTAATCTTTCTTTTATCCTATGTCTTTCAAAAAAGTATCTCAGTTAAAATGAGAAAGATCCTCACAAATGCATTACAAATACTTTCCTCACAAATTATCAAATACTCTCTATTTATTACAGAAAGATATGTTACATATCAAGTATAATCATTTATTACGTATCAAGTATAAATATTTATTACTTATCAAATCTGAACATATATTTCATAAATAAATGTGCTTATATAAAGCTTGCCAAAAGTTACATACACGAATTTAAAATACATATTGGTTTAATAATGGTTCCATTAATACGTTGTTGAATGGCAATTTTTTGTAAGAAATTGTTTATCTTTTAAGATTTATTAGAAAGACCTCTAAATAGTTAATTTATAAAATTATTTTGTTTGGAAAGAAAGGATACAACTTCTGTGAGGCATCAATTTTAATTGAACTGGAGGCTGCCTGATGATAAGCCCCATTTTAAAATTAATCAAAAGTACATTTTTAGTTTTAAAAAAAACTTTCATTTTTATATAGATAATAAGATTGTATTGTACTTGTTATTTGTAGGAAATTCTAGAATTTTGTAAAGTACTTATTTGGAAAAAAGACTAGGGATGAAATTTGATGTAAAATTTCACTTCCAGAAGAAGTGCCTACAGCTATTTAATTTAATGTATGAATTTTTAAGGGCTGTTACATTAAATGTTTTCACGAAAATCATTGTTAAGTTTAAGATTTAATCCTCTTTTTTTCTGGTTTTAGAGCATTATTCGTGTTGGTTTTCAAGAAAGACGGTTGCAGTACTGTGAAAAAGAACAAATTGCTCAATGGCAAAATCAGAGGATTGGTGAAAGAATACTGGAAATAGGTAAGTCAGCTTATATTTAAAGAAGTTTTGATATTATAATTCACTGTTTTTACTTACGTAAATTTGTTACCGTGTACCATTACTTTGTTATTTTTATTCCTTACTTGCTCTTGAAGCTGTCAAGGGAGGATTTAGTTTTTTTTTAAATAAAAATTTAATAATTTTTTTTAACTATACATAACTGATATAACACATATTATAATATTTCCTCCTTGCATGAAGGTAGTATTTGGAATAGAAAAAAAAATTAGTTTCTGTGACAGGGTTGCCACTCTATAGGGAAAACCTGTAAAATACAAGGAATTAAAAAATCACCTAAAATAGCATAGAGATTTGATTTTTTTTTTCTATATGAACTGGGAAAATGCAGAGAATTTTGTTTCTTATTTTCGTCTCTTAAAGAATGGTGATTGCTCAAAGCGCAACCTATGGGCTATTTAAGGGTATTTCAGCTATACTAAACTATTTTATTTATTATGGCATTATTGTGTTCAGTTGTTCCTTTTTCTCTCTAAGATTTCTTGCAATTAAATCTTGTATAGTTAGCCCAATGTAGCTCACACAAGAGTACAGTAATTGAGTTTCATCTCATTATATTGTGTGTAATTTGTACAGGGAATTTCCCCCCCCTATTTGAGTGGCAATCCTGTTAAATTATTAAATTTCATTTCTGCAATTAAATATGAGTTAATTGCAACAATTTTAGTACTCATTTGATTTGATTAGATTTTGTTAAGTGGATACACGTTTAACAGAGATGCCAACTTTGCTCCAGACAGCGGATAAATATTTTTGAATGGTAGTATTTGAATGTAAGATTCTTGGTTTAGTAAATTTGATCGATAGGGTGTTTAATCACCACTTCTTCTAAATTATTTAAAGGTTTATGAAATATAAGTATGTAAATAAGTATGTAAGTAAATGAAGTATAAGCCTTGCTGAGCGTTTTAAAAAGTCATCAAAATTAACCAAAAATTTACAAATTTTAGTTTGTAGATCTCTACCGTATTTTAAAAATATTTTGTGTTGTCCAGAGCAGTTAGCATCTATGGTTTGACATAGTATTCCCTCAACAATTGAAGTTATGTACCCCGTTTTGGAAGTTCATTCAAACAAATATGATATCAAGTTAAATAACTTAATTTATTTACAAAGTTTAAATCTGTTTATTTTTTAGACATTCCTCTGTCATATGGCGTGTATGAAGTACAGAATGATCCAAATAATATCCACCTTTCTGAGTTTCTATGGGATCCTACTAATGAAACCGGAGTATTTATTAGGGTATGTGATTTTTATTATAAAGTTAACAATATTCTTTTTTTATTTTATTTAGATGATGAATTAAATGCATAAAAATTGTTATGTAATTAAATATAATGATTTGATCAAATTATACCAAAATATTTTATTCTACATTAGTTTAAAATGAACTCATATAGTATTCTATTTAAGGAAATTCATTTTTATGTTCTTTACAATATTTAATAGGATGGGAGGTAAATTCTTATGAATACAAGAAAAATAATTAGTGAAATTTATTGTTTTATGAATGTATAGTATTTTTTATATAAAAAATAAACTTTATTGAAATTAAACTTAATTCAAATTAAAGTAAACAAATACGTATAAACATATTCAATTTCAAATCAATAAGCAATCTCAAATGAGTTGTAATTAAGCAACAACAGCTAATCTTTCTATCTGTGAATTGTTTTAAAATAAAAGATAGATGTGAATTGTAGTTTCTTTAAAAAAAGGAATATTACAAAGTGATTTTCTCTATTTTGCATTTAATTGTATGATAAATTGTGACAAAATATTTGTGCTCATAATATACAAGTCAGTATTATAAACACTAATGAGTTGTAATAGTTAAAAACTGTATAATTGTAATATATTAACCTAATATTTTTAGAATAACAAACTTTATTTTATTTTACTGTCGTAGTGTTGATCCCATGGGCAAAATTGTACTGAAATTTACCTGACACATATAATTTTCCTATTGAATAATGAGGAGGAAACCTGCAGCTGAAAGTTCAGAAAAAACTGGATCTAACACTTATAGAGCTGATGCTCTACATCTGTTACTTTACTTATAAATAAGATTCATATGACCTAACTTCTATTACATAAGTAATTGTTTTTCAAAATATTTTCTTTTCTTTTATTTCATTTGGTACTCTGTCTAATGCGCTGAGAAAAATTGTCTTCAAATGTTGAAAAAAAGTGTAAAAAAGTAGGAAATATTCTTACAAATGTATGGAAAAATAACTTTAATGAAATATAGCCTTTACTAGTCCCCTGTTTAGGATTGTCTTAATAATGGTTTTTTTACTGTATTTTTAATTAATTGATGTGGCGCTAAAGTGTTATTCAATTTAGTTTTATCTTTAATAAAAGGAAAATTCTTTACCAAAATAGAGATTTAGGTATCATTTTTTTTAATGGAACGAGCATTTATTTTGTTAATTGTAGCACATAATTGGAAAAAACTGAATACTTAATAATCAATTCAGTAATGTCTGTGCAGTTTTGAAATAGAAAGGTAATCTAGAAATTTTACACACATAGAGTTTTATTCTTAAACAGTAGAATAACGTAGTTGGGACTGTAAATTATGGCAGTTAGATAGTTAAAAATATTATAATAGAGCTATTATAATTTAATTAAATAGAACCATACTTGCACATAAATGTATGTTTTTATTCATTTCAGTGAATATTTTAATAAATGCGTGTGACATTATCTTCCGAATAAGTATTTGAATGATATTTTATCACTATTTTTACTTTACATTTTGATCATAATCAATGTAGTTTATTAAAATTTTATTGGATAATTTAGTTTTATTTGTTTTACGTTTTCTTAGTTGAATTGCATTAGTACGGAATTTACACCAAAGAAACATGGTGGAGAAAAGGGAGCCCCATTTCGAATACAAATAGAAACATTCTCGGATGCTGAAAATTATACCCAGAGGCTTCATGTAGCTTCCTGTCAAGTAAAAGTGTTTAAAGTGAGTATGCTGATCATTATTATAATGCTACCAGTGTATTTGCTTTTTAAGATTCATACTTATATGTATTGATAGTCATGTTATGTTTTAAATTTGCAATGGTTCTTCATAGAAGCATTTGTCTTCAAAGAATATAGAATCTTTAAAATCATTATCGCTATAAAATAGTTAAATGTTTTTGAAATTTTTTCAGCCGAAAGGTGCAGATCGAAAGCATAAAACTGACAGAGAAAAAATGAGTAAAAGAACTTTGACTGAACAGGTAAGTTTTGTTATTTTAATGGAATTGAAGTTTTGTTCGAAAAATCTAAATTGTTATCGAAACTGTTATGTTAAATCAATATGTATTATAAATTATCAAACAGTAGTTTAAGAATCATTTGTTTAAACATAACTATTATGCCCTTTTTGGGCATAATAGTATCTCTATCATCTATTTTGTTTCTCTTTATTTTTTTAAAATTGTTGTAAAAGGGGAAAAACAAAGTGAGATTTCAATCAAACTCTTTATTTTAAACAGTTCAATGTGCTAGGCCTATAATTTTATTCAAACATGGAATCTTTAAACTTTTCTTTATAACCCTTTAAGTGTCCTATGAGTAAAATTGTACGGAAATTTACTTGCTATGCTTCAAAGCTGTTTTATAAATATTTCTTTATTTACTAAACTTTACAAATACGAAGAAAATCATATATGAATCATGTATGTGGTAGAAATTCAAAGCTCAACTTGTTCAGTTTCTATGTGTGATTTTTAAGAAATTAGTTTTCCACTATGATTAAGAAAAATTAAATTTTTCGATTAATGAAATCTTATGATTAAATTTTTTGAATATATATATATATATTCAAAAAATTTAAACATGCAATGTAAAGTCGCATATTCGGAATCGGTGGGACTTCCAGAAGTCCGTATAATAGACCCCCGAGGTAAACAAAGCTTAAAATGATTTAATAAACGATCTGAATCTAAGAAGCAAAAAATAAATAAGCATTATTTTTAAGGGGAATAATGTTATAGCATTAGAATATCTAATCAATCAAATATAAAATATTAGAAAAAAAATATTATTGCTGAAAATATGGAAAACGAAAAAAATGTAACAGTTATGAAAATATTAATCCGCCATTTTGAACTAGAGCAATTCAAGCTGGAAGGGGAAATTCATGTCATTCTGGAACAAAGCTTAAAATGATCTAAATCTAAGAAGCAAAAAATAAATAAACATTATTTTTAGGGGAATAATGTTTTCGTATTAGAATATCTACTCAATAAAATATGAAATATTAGAAAAAAAATATTATTGCTTAAAATATAGAAAACGAAAAAAAATTGACATATAAAAATAATAATCCGCCATTTTTAACTAGAATGATTCAAGCAAGAAAGGGAAATTACTGTCATTCATTAAGGTGGGTAGGTGGAGGAGAAAAATTCATTTCCTCCTTATTTGTGAAAGAAAATAAGTGTAAAGAGGAGATTATTTAAGTTGAGGGTGGGGAAGTAACAAATTATTGTTTTCTCTCCAATCATTGGCTATCAATCAAGCATAAAGGCTGGGCACGCTGATCTGGTTCTCTTTATTTTTTCTTCTATGACTGAAAGAATCTGCTAAAGAAAGAATGTTACCCCCTTTTCCCCCGCCTCCTAAATATTACATGGTATGGGGAAGAAGGAATGTTTTGTTTCTCAAGGGCCTGTATCCTTTTAGACCTAATCAAATTTTCCATTTTGACTCCCCCTCCGCCTTAATGCTTGCCCTGTTTACCCTTTTCCACAGTATTTCTTCTTTCAATAAAAAGGTTCCAGGAAATGCCTCTTTTACTAGCCACCTGCATGGGAAAAGAGGGGGGGAGGGGACTCAGTTGTGGTCTTTTGAAAACAAATCTCCCTCTTTTTCTTACATTCCAAGGGAGGAGCATCACTAATGGTCACTCAATGCTCTTGGTAGATCTTCACTTCCCCTTTCTGGTGATTTATGGGTTTGATGCATAAATCAGAGGTTCAGTGCAAACTAGAAAAAGAGAAAATGTGTCAAAAGACCTTTTTTTTTTTTTTTAAAGGAAAGGGGAAGATGGAGAGATGTTTGTTTATTTTGATTGTTAAAAAGTGTCTGGGAAATCGACGCTTCCTGGAAAGGGACGTCCGGATATGGGACATTACACTGTGTATATATACCGAAGAGCCATTACATTATGACCACCCTGCTAATAACTTGTAGGACCACCTTTAGCCCTCAAAACTGCTAGCACCCGCCATGGCATTGATTCCACAAGGTGCTAATAGGTAGTCTGAGGTATCTGATACCAAGCGCTCACCAACTGGTCCTGCGATTCCCTCACATTGCGAGTGGGCAGCATTGCAGTACGAATTTGGTTTTCCAAGTAGGACCACAAATGCTTTAATGGATTTAGGTCAGGTGAATTTGGAGGCCAAGACATGACTTGAAAGTCACTGGAATGCTCCTCGAACCAATCCATGATGATTCGACCCTTATGACATGCTGCATTATCCTGTTGATAAACACCATCCCCTGCAGGGAAAACTGTTGCCATGAATGGGTGAACCTGGTCTGCAACTATGTTCAAGTAGCTTACAGACGTCAGGGATTGTTCTATGAGGATTATGGGTCCTAATGTGCCCCATGAAAACATTGTTC